AAGCAAATGCAGGTGGAAGTGGTTATCAACGGAATTAGCCTTTTTCGGTCTCTGTGTATCAGAGCATAGAGCCATACGAATAAAACGACACAAACGCTATTAAGTAATGTACTGCCGGAATTCTATTTACTTCTCGAACGTTAAAGACGTCTTTATATTGAATGCGCTATAGGGCCTATAAAAAGAATAAAACGTACGAGCTATATAAACCCAATCGAATGATTCACGTTCCATAAACATTTATTGCCTGTATTAATCGATCGAGTTATATGATTGTTTATGTATGTCGCGGCTGATATTCTTGTACACACATCCGCAGATGCATAAAACATATTCATTTGTCACGTATGTTAAAGTATTCAATGTAGCGATTTATATGAATTCCACGAATTATCATCATATCAATGATCTTGTATTTCAGAGATGAATTTGCAAAAAAGAGCATTTAACTTTCGCACAACTGCTCGTTCGATTATACAATAAATGCTAGTATAATCGTAGAAAGAAATGCGCGGTATCTTGATGTACCTACTCACGAATACATAATATGGTTTATGTCCATAATCAACGTTTCATAATGGCACTTAAGCATCCACTTGTTGATACCATTTATGGCCATTGTATGATGTTACACGTGTAAAACGGTCGCACCGACGCCGTACTAGCACGCACGAGTAACTATGTTAACGTTAATATCGTATATGCACGCACGCGGATTTAAAATTGCAAACACGTTCTTACACCCGCTCAAAATTATTTTGTCGTTTCCCGACTGGACTGCCCGCGCAAAAATAATTAAAATCAAAGTACACTTCTTGACAATGGATTCTCACATCTCGTTTGTCGGTTTTAATCGTCAAAATTAATAATGTTAAATAATTCTAAAATGAGTCGAAAGTTTCTACATTTTTTCTTCTTGAAAATATATTAAAGAATAAGTTTAACAGTTTCAAAAAGGAAACTAAATATCAATATTAATGTATCTCATTGTATTTTAATTGCGCCATTCATTATTCACGAAGCAAATTTACTCTGACTTGTTAGCACATGACCAGAATTATTTAATTATACTATTAATGTTTGAGTAATTTCATTTAATCAATTACATTGTTGTCTTTTTCATGTATCTTTTATCACATCTAAGGAATAACGTTGCATTTTAAATAATATACGGTTCGAACTGATATACCGATTCTAATTTTTACATACTGACGTGAGCGTCGTTATCTCTGTTTATAAATGTCCAAATTGAATATGTATGAATATGTATTTATAAAAGTGATTTTGTACGGCAGCTTTGTGTGACTCAATCACTGCATTATTTTATATTTGAACCTACACACATGTCGGAAGTCTTATTTATCTGTCGGTTATAATTTATATAAATGCATAACTAATGTCAGTATGACATAGACGTTGTATTAAGAATCATCGGATAATCCACGCGTTAAATCATGCTAATTTGGGAAACATGCAAGAGTACTCCTTTTCTGTAAAAGCAAATTCCGGAGAAATATCGCATGCGTAGTAACACATAAATATGTCGCGTGCTATGAAAAACAACTATTGCGCGGATTTGTCACCTCGCTATGCACAGACTGAATTAAAATACAACTCAAAACGCCTGACATATCTTACCGTTTATAAAATCTCATAAATAACGAATGCAGAGCGTAATAAAATATTGAAATATCTTGCTGCCTATATTATACGTTTTTTACACGTTGTAACACCAATAGTCATTAACAGCTGTCGATGAATGATAGTATTTGGTATACGCATTGAAAAATACAGAACAGAGTAGCTCAGATATGTGGCATTTGGCGTGCAAATACGTACGTACGCTCGCACCATCTAGATTCAGGCGAACGCCGAGCAGCGATGGCGTATTGATCTTTTTAGTGACATAGCGTCTCCACAGACACAATCCAGCCCCCTCCCACTACTCCCCTTGACGCAGACTAAAGGTCTATATTTCCTTCGGGACAAATATGTTTCACTATTCCTATAAACACAATTTGCCAGGAATATCGTGCTGCGAATATATGTATAAATGCACAATGTCGAAAGGGAGGAAGGTTAAAATGTCGGTAGACCCGATGTTCTGTTGTTGGAAGTAAGCGCAACAAATGTTGCCAAGATGAAACATATTTTCAAATTTAGGGGATGAATGTGTCTTGCCATTTTAGAGATAAAACAAAGTTTTTCCTTCATATTGGAGTGAAAAGGTGAGAAAGTGAGAACACAAATCATAACAAAAGAGATTCAATGCTGACATAATAAGATCGATTGGTTAAAAATTTTAGATTTGTGATGATTTAAAGCAATCAATGGCCTACTCAGTGTTTCATAAAACTGTTAGAGCTACAAGTTACGTAAATCGACATCAGTAGCTTTAAAGTTAGCGATATTGCAAGTGCAAGGCTTATGAGAACCGAAAACGACTTACGAACTGCTGGCGTAAGAAGTTAGGAGGCAATACGAAGAGAAAAAAAAAATAAACACCGTAAAGGAAGGGATCATAAGATTGCATATGCTTTTCGGAGCTACAATCAGCGATCCAAACGAGTCCGTCGGACGTCGCCGCCGTTCGCTCGGCGAGCGCCACTCCGTCTAGCTCGACGTCTACTACTCTCTGTCAACTGTTTTATATTTAATCCGAACCGTTTTAGTAAGCAATAAACAAACACTGTATCACATAAGCGCTGCTCAAATTAGCCTCAATACCATTTCAAACGGCCATCTCGCATTTATGAAGATGACCGGGGATGGTGGCCCACCCGAGAGTTCTTCGTACGACAGTCGGGAGTGCGGCAAAAGAAAATGGGGAATCGCCATAGAACGGCAGAGTGGGGAACGACTGCCAGTGAGATTTGGTGGGGGACGTGCGACGACATCACGAAATGCCGTGGCACCGCCTACCGGTATGCAATGGGCGGGAATCTCGCTACGATTTACGATTGGCAAAGCTACCGACATCTTGTGCTAGTCAGCTGTAGTTACGTGGCTCCATGGTGGCCATTTTACGCTCACGATTGGCCAGAATCGCAGCACAACGCGAATAAGACTACGTTTTAAATATGGATTTTTTTTCGCCGGTCGCAAAATTATGACAAGAGATTCACATAAATCAGAATTAATTATTGAAAAGTGCCATAAGTGATTAGCTTGTGAAATTTATACTTATTTCAGACATGCAGTTGTTTTCGGCGGTAAATCTATATTTGCTTAATCGAGTAGACGCGGATAGGATAGAACGATCACGTTCATCTTTTATAAATTATTGATGAAAGATACTGATTATTTATATATTACACATGCTTCCTATTTCAAGTAACTACATTATGTATTTAAACTGTCTAAAAAAGTTTTGTATGATTTGAGTCGAATTATTTATGTGTTAAATATAAAAGAGAAAGTATATAAATATATGTAATTTCTTGATTCTAACATTTACATACTTTTAGAAAATAAATATAAAATATATTATGTAATTTATAGCCATGTGAATCTCTTCTAAATTTATATTTAGCTCTTTATCATAATAAATAATTTAATTTAAATATCTATATTTTTATGAATAATATATTTTTTCTTTTCAATATTTAAAGTCAACAATATACAGAACTGTAAAAATTAAAATCAAATAGATATAATTGCAAGAACTATAAATTTAAGATTGCATATTTTATTTATTATTATTTACGTTTAATTTAATATTTTAGAAACAGCTATGAGTTTTATGTGGAATATTAATAAATAAAAATTAAAATTAAGTACAGGAATTTAAGAAAAATGTTAAGAAAAATAATAATAATTGTAGAGAGAAAACAACAAACTAGAATGGCAGATAGCAATAATATTTGCTAATTTACATAAATAATTATTATAGTAGAATATCTATAAAATTTATAAAATAAAAAATTTTTATGTTCTGCATAAGCATAATTTATATTAATATTTTTTTCTCTAAGTTTTATTAACAAGAGAGATACAGATTTTAGATACATAAACTTTATATTTTTTTATCACAATAATGTTTTATATTTTATTAAAATATAATACTAAATATATAGTTATACATTCTTAAAAACTTTTTAACTATCGAATGTAGCATTTTTCCACATAAAACGGTATCACATATGTAAATGTTATATTATACTAATAGTGTATTATAGGGGAAATTTTAATTTTTATCTCTTTTATATTAATGTGTCAAAATGTTAATTTTAATTCTTAAATAATGGCTAAATTGTTCATGTAATTATAAAGTAACAAAATTATAGAAAAAAATATAATGTATCAATATCTTTTTTGCTATTATGCAGAAAGGACATATTTCACAAAATGTGTCTGTCATATTTAAAAGATCATAAAATATTATTATACTGGGCAAAAAACCATTTGGTAAAACATATGCCATAAAACTATGTCGATTATATCAATTGCTATGTAAGCAACTGTATCTTATCACATATCTTTTATCACACCAATAAATTATGTAGGTATTCAGAACTGTACTTTGACAATTTATTTTATTGCAAGAACATTAAACAAATAAACTTGTTAATAAATTTAAATAAATAATATATTTCTGTACCTTAAATTTAATTAAATATTATATTTTCTCAAAATTTAATTATTAAATTAAAATTCTTAAATTTAATATTTTTGTTTTATAATATGTTTCTGCAAAATATATTTTCCTACATTTATATTTACATAATTTATATTATTAAAATTTTATAACTTTATCAATTAAAAATAATGAGATGCATACATATAATTTGTGATTTATAAAAAATTAAAAATTTTTTTATTATTAAGATAGAAAGTATGAAAGTATATATTTTTTTAGTTGCAAATATAGATTTGTAAATTTTAGATAGGAGTTTGCTATTGTCAAAGTATGGTTGCAATTGTACAATAAATATTGGTAAACGAAAACATAGTGACGGATTTCAATATTTTATGTAATTATGCAAATGAAATGAACTCACCGGTCGTTGTACCCTAGCTAAATGTGTCTTTAACTGCACCTGAAAAATTAATACATATTTTATTTATTATAAATTATCATATATTTCATGTAAATTAATTATCATTAAATTAATTAGATTAAAATATTAATAATTTTTATATTAATTATATATAACATAATTATATGCATAAAATTGTATAGATATTTATTGAAAAATTTTAATAAATATTTTAATAAACTTTCTAAATATCTTATATTAAATATTTAATAATTACAAATTCTAATTGTGTATAGTGTGTTATTATTATAGCTTGAATGAAAATGTTAACGGAGCACTTGGCCACTTTATCCGAGCATCACTGAATACTGAATGAGAGGTAGATAGATAGATAGATAGATAGATAGATAGATAGATAGAGAGAGAGAGAGAGAGAGAGAGAGAGAGAGAGAGAGAGAGAGATAATTATATCTCTCTATCATCACCTCTTGATTAGTGTTCAGTGGTGTTCAGCGCGATCAGCCAAGCGATGCACCGCATTAGCATCTTCATTCAGACTTTAATACAATTATATACATATTGAAATAAACAGGTATTAAGTACTCACCAGCTAGAGTATTGCAGTTTACTTTATCCGCTGCAGATTCTATCTTAGCTGTGCTCCTCTGATAAATATGAAAAACTCACACTTATGTGCTAACCAAACAAAAATCAACTCACGCACTTCATTTTTAAAAATTATGAATTTATGTCACAAATTTGCTATGCCACGAATTTGCTACGTCACGAATTTGCTACGTCACGAATTTACTACGTCACGATACACGAAACGCAAATGCGAGATAAAAGCACTTTGTGCTACAACGCGTACACGCATAATATTGTATAATCAAATTATGCACAACGTTACACATCCAATCTGTTCGACAATGTACACACATTTACACAGCGAGCAAAACAAACGATTTAGTTATCCTGACGGTCACGACAAAGTCGTCTAGTACGTGATCACGTACCTGCAAAACAACAACCATGTTTTACTCACAATCAGTTTAATTCTAATGAGTTCAATTTTCAACATGTTACTTTAATGAAAAGTGAATAAATTGTGCATGTTTATGTGATCTCGGAATCTGTACTTACTGAAATAATTTCGAACGAACGATCTTGCCGCCAGATAATTGCAACGAAACACCGATAATCCCGAACACTTGCGCTGTACATTCCGGCAAATGCCCGCAACTTTATTCAACACTCTTGATAAACGCCCGTCATTTTTTAGACACTTCTGACAAACGGCCGTCACTTTATACGACATTCCCGATAAAAATTCGCACTCGTTATGCATCTGTAATGATCAATTTTTGCAAGTAATCGCGAGAAGATTGTGCTATACGTTCTGAAACTATGCACTTAGAAACTCCGCGTCAAGATTGCGCGCGCAACGCAAGTCTGTTCTTTATAGGCGCAAGCAAGTCCGTTCTTTATAGGTGCACAATACCTTCTATGTGATACAGGCTTAAGGTGGCGCTGTATTAGCAGTCTTCTCAGCGAGTTTCGCGCATAGTTTTGGAACAAGGAGCGCTAACTTCTCGCGATTACTTGCATTTTTTATCCGTTACAAATGCCCGATTCGTTATAAGCGGAAATTTTCGTCGAAAGTGTCGAATAAAGTGACGAGCGTTTGACGGGAGTGTCGAAAAAATAACACGAGCGTTTGTCAGGACAATCGAATAAAGTAACGAGCTTTTACCGAAACGTATGCTACGAGTGTAGGGATCAACGGTATTTCGTCGATTACCTGGCAGCGGGATCGTTTATTCAAATCAATGCAAGTAAGTATTCCGACGCTACAAATACGGTGTACGCAATATATACAATATTTTTGGTTAGGTAAAGCATATTGAAAATATAGCTCGTCGGTATTAAATGGAGTAAAACGTTGTTGATGTTTTATAGGTGTATGTCCGTGTTCTGAGACTTGCCAAACGGCCGGCATTTATCTTCTTGCTGTAAGTGTGTAAGTGTGTGTGTGTGTGGCACAAAGTTTATTTTGTCTCGTATTCGCCTTTCGTGTACCGTAGCATAACAAATTCGCGACGTAAATCTATGATTCTTGGAAGTGAAACATATATGTGAGTCAATTTTTCTTTGTTTATGTGAATAACTAATTGTATATTTTGTAGATATTTATTGATGCTTCATTGGAGCATAGCAATCCAAAGCATAATTTGTGCATGGAGTAATCTAAACTGCAATGCTCTTAACTGGTAAATATAATATTGTGTTTATTTATTATTTAGATATGCATATAATTCTGTAAGTTAATTGGAACATGAATAACGAGAATGAATTGTCATATATACATATATTGTTATAATAAATTTATAATGATAGATTAATTTCTGTTTGTTTATGCAAGTAACTAATTATAAGTGCAAATTTTTTAGGTACTCATGGCTGCTTTGACGGAGCATAGCAATCTAAAGTGGAATTTGTTTAGCGAGTAAATTGAATTACAATATTCAAAAACTGGTAAATATGATATTGTTTATGTATTATTTTTAGATATATACATATCTCTGTGTGGTTATTAAAAGATGGATGAGAAGACTAACTTATTGTATCTATGAAACTTTATAATTTTTTTTACTGGACTGGTTATACTGAGCATTACTGATAAGTAAACCAAAAGCAACGATAAAGAGCTTATGTTTCTTTATCTGAATACTTTTTCCTCAGTGTTTAGTGATATACAAAACAAATAATTAAATGATGCATTGTCTTAACATTCTCATACAGATTAGTAACATACAGATACACAATTATAATTTCTAATTATTAAATATTTACACAAATTACATAATTATCAATATACATAAAATTTATAATAATTTATATAACTGGATGCATATTTTTTAGATACTTATTGATGCTTTGATGGAGGATAGCAATCTGAAATGGAATCTGTGTAGCAAGAAAACTAAATACTCTAAAATTGGTAAACATAATATTGTGTTTATTTATTATTTAGATATATACACACATGTATATTTTATGTGTTAACTGGAACCTAGATGAGAAAACTAACTCGGTGCATCGCAGAACTGATCTTGCTGAGCATCACTGACATGTAAGCTAAAAGTAAAGGATAGAGAGTTTATGTTTCTCTTTCTATCTAGGTATCTTTCTCTCAGTGTATAGTGATGCTCAGAACAAATAATTAAAGGATGCACTACTTTAGCTTTTTTGTACAGACTAGTAACATACAGATAGATAATTATAATTTATAATTATAAAATATTCACATAATTATATAATAAGATACATAAAATTTGTAATAATTTATAACGACTAAGATATGTTAACTTCTTCAGGTGGAACTGAGGGCCTACAGGATACATCGGTCGGTGAGTGAAAGTATTCGATACTATTTACATAATAGTACGAAATACTAATTTCATACTTTGTTTTTTAATTATTAACATTTTCTGTGTAATTGTTAAATGCAGCATCTTGACAATCATCTCTTTGTCCGCAATTTTATAAATTGATAATTGAAATATTTAAAAAATTACTTTAAAAATTAAAAATTTAGAAAATATAAATTATATAAACATATATGTAGAAAAATATATATACAAAAAGAATTATAAAGTTTAGGATTTAGAAACTACATTTAAAAAAATGAAAATGTTGAGGATATATTATTTAATATATTTTAACATAAATTTTAATATATATACATATAAATATATATTTTACTTAATTTTGAGTATTAGAAAATAGAACAAGTTTTTTATTAAATGGATATAACAGACATAATAATATTTTATAGAATGTATTTCATACAGTAATTGAATGATGCTGTAAACAATTGACACTATCTAATTGTTCATTAAGTATGTAGGTAATTGACATACACAGAAAAGCAATTACACATTTATGATTAAAAAAATTTTTTTTTTGCTTCTTTTATGCTGTTTCTATATATTTTATTTCACATTTGTTTGACAATGTAAACTTCATGTTAAAAAGAAGTAGATAATAAATTAAAAGTAGTAACACTATGAAAATCATGGAAATAACCACACACACATAGAAATTTCTAAATATTTTTTTATTTGATATATATTAATATTAAAATTTTTATTTTATTTATTCTTTGTCTTTTATTCTCACTCTTTATTCTCACTTTAATGTCAGTTAAACAAATATAAAAAAATAAAAAGACAAAGAAGAGGTGAGGAAAAAGTGAAAATTTAATTATATATTTATTTTGTTTGTTCACTTTAATGCAGTTATATTTTTTAAATTTATATAAAATTAAAATATTTGTCCGGTTAGTAGACTGCATACAGCGCCTCCTTAAGCTTATATCACATAGTAAGTGTAGGAACTCATAAAGAACAGACTTGCGTTGCGCGCGCAATTTTGTAGACGCGGAATTTTAAGCGCAGTTTCAGAACACAGAGCTCAAACTTCACACGATTACTTGCAAAATTTGTCCGTTACAGATTACAAGTGTGATTTTTGTCGGGAATGTCGAATAGTTTTTATCGGGCGTTTATCGGGAGTGTCGAATAATCTTTGACGGGCGTTTATCGTGAGTCGAATAAGTTTTGATGCGTTTGTCGAGAGTGTCGAAAAAGTGACGGGCGATTATCGGAAGTGTCGAATAAAATAACGGGCGTTTGTCAAGTATTCGTGATTAATGATGTTTCGTCGATTGTCTTGCGGCGGGATCGTATATTTCATTCGATGCAAGTAAGTATTCCATATCACAAATACTTTGTACGCAATATGTACATAAAATTTATAATGACTAAAATATATATTAACTTTTTTAGGTGGAATCAAAGGCTTGCAGCGCAAGGTTACATCAGTCAGTATTGAGTGTGAGTTAAAGTATTCAATATATTTGCATAAGGAAATATTAATTTTATATTGTTTTTTTTATTTATTAATATTTCTTGTATAATGGTTAAATGTAGCATCTTTACAATTATATCTTTGTCTATAATTTTATGAATTATTAATAAAATATAAAATTACTTTAAAAATTACATAATTTAGAAAATATAAATTATATAAACATATGTGTTGAAAAAAAATTTATAAAAATAATAATACAATTTTGAATTTGGAAATAAAATCTTAAAAATTGAAAATTTTGAAGATATTTAACATAATTTAAATGTATATAAATATATGTATAACTATAGTATTGTTTTGGATATCATTGTAATGTAAATGTGTTTATATTTTACAGATAAATTTTGTGCGCGTAATCAGTGGTACGAAATATATTCGTTTCGTTATAATGTAACAAAATGTAAGTCGGGAGTGTCGCGTTTAAAGTGTCGCGTAGTGCATTCGGGTACGCACGCGAGCAATGCGTGCGTCGTGAACGCGAGTGAGTGTTTCAAAGGTGAGAATGAAGTGGAGGAGGCCTAGGTGGCATCATGTAACAACAGAGCAACGATACGGTAAGTAATTTATAATAAAAAATGGATTTTTTAATGAAGAGACTATACAAATTTTACTTAATCTTGAGTATTGGAAAACAGAACAAGTCCTTTATTAAATAGAAATAATAGGTACAACAATTACAATGATAGATAATTAACTGTTTAATTTTACGTTATTAATTTGATAAAAATAGCTGTAGTAAATCACAAATTAAGTAAGTAGCAAATATAATAAAAAAATTCTATGTTTAATTTGAATGTAAAACCGTGAAATATTGGTGTCAGTAAGACGAGTTACATCGCGGGCGATTACGTGGTTTACGGTAGTTTTAACGAGCGCTGTTGCACGCGACTCAGCACTAAACCAGCTTTACAAAACATAGCCACACTAGTACAAAGTTTTATGGCCAAATTTATTATCTGTTACCTCCTTATATGATGCTACGATAATAATAATTGTCAGGTTTAATTCACTCGTAAATTAGCAGGAAAGATATTTGTACCATTTTAAATATAGTCACATGGCGAGGAAGGGCTATCTGACATCACATCATTGAAATGTTTTTTGCCCATGAAAACTTCTATGCTGACCAGCTTTCGTTTGTAGTAGAGAGATCAGCTGTTCTACTGTTTTATTTGAGATGCTTACCGACCCTTGTTCAATACCGCAGCATTTATTTTACAATTGAACTACACGGTTGCATCCTTCCTTCTGCCAGTAAACAATACATTTTGGTGCATTTTCGCTTTACATCTACACATGGTTTATCAGGAATATATTCTGTGAGATTTAATTATATAATACGGTGCAATTTTAATTTTAAAATAAATACAGATAACGGTATTGAATAAAATTTGATAAACGTCTTAGATAAAACACAGAAATGGTTTTCAAGATTTTTTCTGCTTTTACTT